GCAGACCAAATTCATCGGCGCAGCTGCAGTATTTTTGTTAAGTAGCCTACTTAGCCGAGATCGGACTCTTACTATGTACGTGCAGCACAATGCATTATGCAGTGTTACTGCGGTGAGATCCAACAGCGCAAAGTGTACAAAAATGAGAAAATTCATCCATTGGTTGATTGAAGGGGTGAAAGGGGTTCTTCTCAATGGTCAGGGCGCATACACGCAGATCTGACGACGTTTCAATATGAAAGGATTTTAATAATTGTTTATAGCAAAAATTGTTTTACCTTAATTTAATCAGGGCATCAGAGAGTTGGCCATTTGGTGTTGTATGCATGCAGCACTCTAGTCCGCCATTAAGGCAACCGAGCCACGCCCATAGAGCTACGCCTCAGAGACTACAAGTCAAACTAAAGCAAACTAACGCGGGCTGATGTAATAAGCAGAGATGTACCTAGGCCTACATCTGGGATGAATTGACTTCACGAATGGTACTGTTCATTCTTTTACTGGGGCATCCCACACCTAATTCACGCTTGAGCGAGCTCACGTACAGTATTTAAAGAATGCATGATATACTGCAGAGTCGGGACAGGTGAAAGAAAGACTCTTTATTAGTAAATACTTTAACCCTCTCAGCAACTCAATTGCTTCTATGAACACAGACGAATAACCCAGTGCTACCTAGCCTTTCGTCAAGGCCTTCGTGGCTGTGTGTATGTAACTGCAAAGCGACTGGACATGAGACCAGGCGAGTGGTACGCCACTGTGCTTCTGGTCTTCGGTCAAGCCGCTTTGCAGACACACATAAGCACAGCCGCGAAGGCCTTGACGAAAGGCTAAGTGCTACCAGATGTGGGCTACGGCAGAAGCACAAAGAACAAAGTTTACAAGCGCTAATGTATGACATAAATTATCTTGATGGCAAACCACAGACGAACTTAAGTCAACTGGTTACCAACCAAAGTACATTCTGTTTGTAGATAACAATAAGCAAAAGAGGATGTCTCCTTTTTACATACACTATAAAAAACTAAGCCCAACTCTCTAATTTGGTGACAGCGCAGCACGAAAATTGACGCTCGTTCCTCGCCTTTTATTCCGTCGATTTTTTAAGTTAATAAGTTTTAACTTTCATCGGTGTTTACATTGTAGTCTCAAGTTTTTTTGTCGGTTTTCTCAAGTTTAGCCAAGGTAATTCTTCAGACAAGCTTCCACCATCTCCTTTGAATTTGAATAGCACGAGGGCCATGGCTTTGTTGATGATTACGGGGCATGGTGGGCTGTTCAACCGTGTTTCTACAGGGAACTGGAACGTTCCTTCTACGTAGTCTCGTTACATCTTGCAGCAATCGAGAAAGAATTCAGGATTGTCGTTAGTGCAAATTGGCACAAAAAAAGAGTTTGGCTAGGCATACAAATTATGTTCCTCAGAGCAATAGAAGAGAGAGAAATGTTACAGATATGATCGTTTTCGGACGTGTTATGTGAGACAGTCCATTTGAGTGAAGACTAGGCCTACCAGATCCCCAAAGCAGTGCAATTAAATGGCTGTGATGTGACAGTGATGTCCAAGCACAATGAGACAATGAATGTACATGTCCAAACACTGATGAGTCGTAGACGTTTGTTGTAGTCTGATTGTTGAGATTTATTTCAACTAATTCATATAGGTTTTCCTAGCCGAATTCGCCACCTTCACAGTCAAATTCATTATTACATTCCAACGATTTTGTTTCAACTGGTTGATGCCATGTTTCTTTTTCATAGGGTGGAACCTTCAAAGTCGTTTACAGGCGTAGAATAGTGAACTGTAACAAATTCAATTTAAATCTAATTTCGTTCAATTGAACAGTGCATAATCGTCATTTCGCGTTGGGTGACCTGAATGAGAAATTCCTTCCAAATTTTACTTTTCTTTTCGTCTATGGGCAATCATGCTGGCATTTTGACCCTTCAAATTGAAAAAAATATGGAATATGAGACAAATTAAGATGCGTACAGAACAGGAAGGGAGAAAAAAAATATGTCCCACATATTGACTTGAATGTATATGTCTCTATATCTCAAACAAATTACACATCAAGAATACAGTAAATTCGCTCCAATACTGATTGCCCCTTCAATCAAAATGTAGAAATGAATCCCTCCCTAGCTGCACCTTCATTACGGATGCTGAAACAAAAATCCCTTAGATGCAGTTTACTGATTTGTAATTTCTTTATTTTATTCACAAGAAACACAATCTCTCTCCTTAAATGTGAATGTATACTAAGATTGTTCGAATTCTCCCAAACAATGGCTCATTTCTTTTTTGTCACATTTTTGAAGTAACACTTTTGCATTTATATTTTTTTTATTTTTGCATCCTTTTTTAGACATTTCCAAACTTTGTCTGTTTGTGTGATAGAAATAATTTTTACATCGCTGTTATCCTTTCTTTTCATAACAATTCAAACAGAAACAAAATAGGAATTAATAAATTTAGCAAATGAACATTGATCGATCATTATTTTTTATAGAGATCTTTATTTTTGTGTATGCAAAGTCAGGAGTTGCTTCGGAAAATTTTGATTGAACGTTCCCCGCTCCAGTAAAGCGAATCATATTTTAGATTGTAAAAAAGAGAAACTATAAAATATGAATAAAAACCGTGTTTAAAATATTGTAAACAGCACTAACTTGCTCTTTCCTGTAATTATTTGTGTTTGCAATGATCTTTCCAGTCGCAGCCTAGCAATTAATATGATTTTTTTATCCAGTGGTGTAAATGCTTGAGCTCAGGGGTTAGGTCCTACATACAAAATGCATGAGGTGTTTGGCTTTCAGCAATCAGTCTCAACGAACAGACATGAGCCACTGAATAGACTGAAGTGTTGTCAGAGCTTACTATACCTCTGCACCTGCAACCCTGATCATTCCATTCTGGAAACTTTGCAAAACAGAAGGGAATATTTTTCACAGTTTTTTATCAAACTTGTTGAAAATAGCTGCACATCTGTGCTCCAAAAGTAAACAAAACCTATCTTGGTTACCAAATGAGAAATTGTTTTAAACGAAGCTAAACAATTCCCACTCAGCCTTGTGGAAATAAATGCTTCTATGATTGTGTCGTTGTACTTTCAAAAATGTTTTTTGGCCTTACAAACATTGCTCCAATGGTTTTTTCCATCAGCCGCCAACTATAGAAAATATTCATTCCTCCGGGTCAAAAGGTTCGCCCCTTAACCTGCGATACCATTCGTATTCATATTGCGTGGTACGCATGACTGAGGAAAAAACTCAATACGTGTAGTTGAAATCGTGTTAACACAAAATCCCCCAGAAGAAGCTAGACGTGCGTAACGTACAACAATCGTTTAGTTTTGTTTGTACCATCCAGCACTGGGTACTGTCTGTTGTTTGTGTAGCTGTGAAGGTTTACCTGCCATGGAAATGCGGTGCTGGAGGAGGTACCGTCGCATGTTGCTCAAACAATGAGAGCGTCGTATTATTCAACCTTTGCTCCCAACCACTGCATGATATATAAACATGTTTGCCTGTGAGTCCATAAAGGCGAACTTCCACAAATCGAAGATATAAGAGAATAATTATAACCAGTTCCTTGCAGTGGTAATTTTACGCAGGTTGGCGCCGAGCAATGAGGACATGCTGTCAGTGCTTTGGCAATTAATTCATCTTTTCAGATGACTGACTAGCTTGTTTACACAAATTCACTATGCCCATCTTAAGTAACTAAGCAGGAATTATAAGATCGATGGTATGAATCAACATTTGTTAAAACGTAAAAAAGAGGATCAGGTAGCCATCGGGTAAATGTTCAACTTTTTCTAAAAATCCATGCCCAGTTTGGTGTGGTTTGTTTACAGAACTATGTTTAAAACGAACCACGTACATACACACACTCACAGAAACCAACTCAAGTAGATGGCATGGGGCCAAAGTTCGACATTAACATTGGATACACGCAATTTTAATAAGTAACGCCTATTAAATGAAACCTTAATTTCTACGACTTGTGGGTTTTTTGGAGCGGGGGGACTCTCCAGAAATTATGGAAAGATTGCCATCCATTGAGTAAAGGTAGTTCCGACACACCGCCAACTGAATATGTGCATTGATGCCTACACTAGATGCAAAGTAGAGCATTTCATTCATCTTTCCAGAAAATTAAGCATTCATTTTTGCCATCGTATCGCCTCACTTTTACCCCAGTATTTGGCATTCATTTGGCTATCTAATATTAAAAAAGGACACAATTTGGTGCAAACTGCTAATCGTTAGTTGATTGGCCGCGTAGGAATTTCTTTCCGTTTATTTTTTGGTCATCGACCAAAAACCTGGAGCCTCGTTGTCAGACGCGGAAATGCGTAGACAAAATTCGCTACAGTGTATACAAAGCTGTTTAGTTTGAAGGTGGTGTCTCTAATTCCAGGAGGGAAACTTGATCCGGAATCTTTGCTTAAATTAGCACACATCAGCAGTGACTTTTTTGACTACTCACATCATTGTTATTGGCTGTGAAGCTTTGCATTTCTGGTTGAAACACACTGATAGAAGGTAAGATAACGTTCATCTAGTATATCGCTAAAACTTGCACTGTATGCTTTGTATTACAACGTTTGAAACATTGACATTGTCCAACAAACATCCAGCAAGTTAAAGAAAAGCTATCGTTGACACCAGTGAGTATAACTGGTCTTCAGTTGAACATAGAAGGCCCAATTAAACTTATTACTGCAAAAGGTGTTTTTGATCGATGGTGTCTACTCCTTGGCTTCTGTTCGTCGGGGTATAGGCTTCCTGGGAAGAAGTATTTTGAAACCTACTGTATTGTAGGCACTAGTCGTGAATCAGTTTAGTTTTGGTCGAGTTGAAAGCGTCGATTTGTATCAACGTCCTGCAAACTGTGCCCGCAATGCCCTAGTAGTTGTATAAAATATGAACCAATGCATTTTGTAATGATCACAAACGTCTGACTGTTACAAGATTTATTAACGCTGAATGAAAGGTTATTAATTCATATGACCAAAATTACCTTTAGCGTCATACTAGCTAAAACAAACGACTGAATTTACTCAAGATTTGCAGCTTATCCACAAGCTTCCAATATAAATGCAGATAAGACACCTAAACTTTACTCTATTAATCGAATCAAACAAAATCAGAAAATACTGGCCATCAATAATCACAAAAACACTTCAATAGTTATCTGTGGCTCTACTCCCAACTGGGTAACTATTCATATAACTAACACCAACCTTTTTGACACCTGTTCTTAACACAATTAAACAAAGTTTATTCAATCAAATTATTGCACAATTTGAAATATTCCACTGTCGAGAGCATCAAATATTTGTCACGCAAATACAGGCATAAGTGATAATCAACTCCACGTTGAACATTCTGCCAACACTTTGAGCTGCATTCTGCGTTAAGCTTGAGCCTGCTTTTGTCTATTTAGAGCCTGTAGATACACCCCTATACGTTAGTTTGCGTCATCATCAAAGAATCAGATCTAAGGTAGGCCGTCTGTACATTTTCAATTTCAATAAACTCTCGCAATAAGCGCCAACATGGCATGCTTACAGCGATCTTTAATAATTCTCCTGTGCTTTTCCTGATGGGTCCAGCCCACTAATTTAGGTTCGTCAATCCCCGCTGAAATCAGTGTAGAATCAGCATTGGTTGGGGCCCAATAACTTGCATATCAACTTCGGGTTACTTTTATCCTGAATTCTATGCAAAAGAAAGTAACATGGTTACGTGGTTTATCTGTCAGCTCAAGGCCAAGGATTAAGGTTTAAAATACAGCTTTCTAGTGACCTTTCGCATGTAGTTTCCATCAAGAGAAAGTAAATAGCTGAAAATGTACGATTTTCAGAGTTATTTCTCACCATTGCGATAATTAACATTCTTTCCTGGCAACCTGGTAGAAAGAAGGAAATAACTCTCCTCAGTTCAAGAAGTAAATTGTTAAATACAGGCAAGTTTGTGCTTCCATAGTAATCACAAAAAAACTTCAAGATTACTGTCTGGATTAGAGGTACCAGGAAAAACAACAAAATGCAATAAATAAAGTCTACAGTGAACCCCCACTCTCAGTAGACCTTTCTCGTGCAATTGTACTTTTTTAATTGAAGCTAGTGTTCCTTTAATGACTGCATACATTTTCCACCACGACTTCAGCAAGCCACAGAAAATATTCACCTCTGGAGGTGTGAAAGTTCACCTCTTCGCCCATGTTACCATTCATATTCAGATGAGGTCTGGTACACCTGACAGGGCACCAAAGTTCAGTGCTAAGTAGCTGAAAGTGTTTGAAGTGTAATCAGGCCACTGAAAGGCAGACGTGCGTCATCAGTGATCCATGTGGCTATACAGCCCGAAAGAATGATCCCTGAAACCCTTTGATAGAAACAGGAACCCACTGTATTACGGTCTACGTGTCTTGCATTAACTGCTGCATAAAGTCTGCGCTATTCGATAGGTGAGCGGCAAAGCATTTGGACACCACTTTCCACGGATACTTTTCTTCAACACACAAGAAGAAATTTCAAGACTTACGCAGGGGAGATTTATATTTCAAGTACAGGATTTGACCTTACAACGACTCATATTATTTAACATAGTATACTCATTGCTTGCCCAAGACCTTGTGAAAAAAGCCAGAGGCTCACTCTTTCGGGACTCGAACTCACGATCATGTGGGCCTAATGTGTGAACAATGTTTGTAACAGGAAAGGTAACAGGAAAGGCAAGCAGACATGTTTTGTGAGGTAATCACTTCAATAACTATACACCTTAAGAGTACACGGACTGAGAGATTATGTGTAATGGTTAGGCTCCTGTATTGAGTTCAACTCCTCAGTCGAAGTGCTCCACGCTAGGAGGCTCTACTAGACAGCTGACGTCCCCCCCATTGTGGGGTTTTCAACTTTCCATCCACCTTAGGCAGAAGCAACACCATAATGGTTGAAAAGAGCCATGCTGATGGGGAAGTTTGTTGGAAGCGACTGCAGGATCGTAACACGTATATTCATAATCATTTGTGAATCAACAAAGTGCAGTTCTTTCCAAAGGAGTCTGCGTTGCTAGGAAATTGCGCCCTCACATGGGCCAGCTAAGGGCTCACCGGCTTATGGGAAAGGCGGGTATATTCAACCGCTGAACGGGCCCACACAAAAATGCCATTGCAATACACATCATCTTTGAGGGCCTGATCTGTGTGCTGGGTAACAGTACATAAGATTAATTGTATAATATGTTACAAAAATAATAATACACCCCTGTGGCCGTGGGTGCAAATGTGGGGCAAGGCAGAATCGCATGGGTACATGTAGGTCTAATGTGTGTGGGCTCAAACGTGCATGCAAGGGTGTTCCCAGTGGGTGTCTTCGCAACCACGTGACACCATGTAACGCCTCCACTGTTTGCTTCTGAAGTTATGACGAGAAGGTTTAGGTCTAATAAAATGTATGAAGTGCAGTGACAGGAAATCTGACCCCAAATCGTGACCTTTAGTGTAAGCAATATTAGTTTGCAATGGGACCACAGTGGAAAGTAAGCTGGGAATATCAAGTTTCACACGAGGTGAACAGATATGATGGGAATTTCCTTTACAGATATCCAAGAGGGAAACAAATAAATGTGTTCGTGGGTTGCAGGTGGCTGCAAAAACATGAGATAACCATTACCTGTTCAGCAGACAGATCCACATTCTACCAGGGAAGGTTAAAAGAAGGAGCGAGCATGCGCACATTGATTTGGTTATCACTATTGATTTGATTATGCAACATTACATCAGGATAAAATGTTTTTTCATAAGATCAACCTCAGAGATTGTATGGAACACATGAATTATCAGTGAAAGTGCAGGTACACACCTTGATATGAGTAAAGCAACGTTACACTTGTTTGCATCCCATATCACAGGGAAAAGTTAATTAAGGGACCGTAACTCAATTTTGATATTTTCTTTTTGCGGCAACTTCTGTAGAAATTGACTGTTTCTTCCTTGAGCTAAGAAATACTGAGATTGTATACATGCATACACTCAACGCTAATCCTTATTTCTCATGCATAAATCAACAAAATTCTAATTTGGTCTCCATTCACAGAGAATTGATAGCTTATACTGCACATTTTTTGTGAAAAAAAATACTTTTTAGAATAATGGCGCCTGTAACGAGTCCTGATGAACTGGCTGATAATATCATCTTGGCTGTAGCTGCTTGAATTCTTATTCTTCCGGCCTGTAAGTAAATGATGAATGAAAACTAACCAGGACTTTATTATGCTGAAACATGAATGGATGGAAATGAGAATGAAAGCAGACCTGAGAAAAACGAGAGAAATTGAACATGGAGTCTGAAGGAGGCTGCTTGGTTTACTCTAAACTTAGCCAGTATCTTTTACTCATTGACAAACAATGAGTTTATCATAAAGATAATCAGTTCATGAGTGCCAGAATGTGACGGAATGCAACGCTGTAATATTTAACCAACCTTTTTTCAGTATCTCTTTTTGGAAGGGGGGTCAGCATTTTTATTCTCTAAAAGCGCCACGGAAAATGCCACCCGCATTGTAATCGGAGGTTGTGCAGTCCCATTCAAGTTCAACAGCGCCCCCAGTGTTCGAGGATTTCCATGTCAATGCCACCTATCCCAAAGTTTTAACAGGGACTGTGTTGCTCGTATGAAAACTATTGCTTTTACAATCACCGCACTCTCCACACGAAGTCCAACTGGAGACTACGTGCGATATTTTATTGGAATGAAACTCAGAGTTTCCCTTTTGGTGCACGGCGGTTCATGATGAAGCGAGGAAGTCCAGCAAGCAGTGACGAGGAATCTGGAGGTAAAAATCCTTTTATTGAAAAGAGATGATTGTAGACTGTCTGAATTTGTACGAAACAGTTTTTATGAAAGGACAAGTTAAAAGGTAGTTGGTATCACAGAAAATTATATCAAAGTAAATTCCCTTTTATGCATATTTACCAAAGATACTAGTTTATCATCGAATGTGCCTCCTATCATTGCTAGGCTCACAACAGGTATTAAAAGTTAGAAACTGTCCCAGTGTACTTTATTCTATATTTGTAACTCAAGCAATCAGAAATAATCACAAGGAAATCTGAGCAGATTTGTAGAGACAAAAACAGCTTTAACTGAGCACGCCCAAAAAAGTTTGGCTGCCATTTTTTAAAGAACCCCGTGCATCAGAAATAAAACATTCCTTTCGAACTGGTAATGTTAATTATGCAAAATAATCCATGGCGATATCATTGAGTCTTTCCCCCAGAATTCCAGCTGACCGCTTTGAATCTGCATGAATTATCAAGACACATCTCGACAGAGTGGAGGGCCCTTGCCCTGAACCTCGGTTATGAAGACAGCGAGATCAAGACAATTGAAAGTGACTACAAGGATGATGTGCTTCGGCAGTGCTACGAAATGTTAGTTGCTTGGCACAAGAAGCAAAGCGACGAAGAAAGAGCAATTAGGAAGTTGAAGCGAGCTTTGGTCAAAGTCGGGCTTCAGGAAGTGGTGCAAAGAATGGGTAAGATTTCCTCAGTCGTGCCAAACCCTCAAAGATTCTATCCCCTCTGAACTCGGCTGTGCCACACTCAAGTTTTTAAAACAGAATGTACAAACATCCTGATCATTATAAATATGAAAGTTGAACTCAACCATACGTGTGGTTTTTATTGTTGGGCAGCAAAGAGTTAATCGAAAAAGTCCTAAAGGCTTAGCTCTTGACCAAATGCACTACGGTTGTAAACAACTACGGGAGTACAAGTAGTAAGACGCGGACTCAGAACTCTCCAAGAAAATACATTTGTAAACAGAAAACGTCGAGGGCGACCTGCTGACCTCGAAAGCGGAAACGTAATAAAGATATCTCTATTGCGCAACAGACATATCTCAATTAATAATAGAGATATTTTAGTTTGGGAATAAATGTCAACTTTGCACGCCATACGAATTGACGTTTTTGGTAACGTATGTTCATTGTGATCGACAATGCAGTTGCTCTGTTCTGTCAGTTATTTTTCTTTTTCATAACGCGAAAAGTCACATTTGGAATTCCCTTGCAAACTTCCAGCATCCTTAGTTTAGGAGTGGTATTGTCTGGGAGAAGAAATTAGATTTCTCTCGATCTTGACACCAAATTTTATGCAGAAGGATGATGAGCGAAATCTGCAACTGAAAGTGTTTAACATAAAGCTTCTGAGCACTAGAACAATAAAAGCCAACGATCTTCGGCTTGCGGAAACCTAGTCCCCTGTTTACAAATTTCCTTAATTATATTATAAAGCTTAAAGGGCTCGGTTTAGTCCAGCACGAGTTGAAATTAACGGAATCACAATTTAAAAATTTTTGAAGAATATTTTAATGTTACTTTAAAAGAATTTTAATTTTGTGTTTAACAATAATTATCTTCCTATTCTTTTATTGTTATTTTTCAAATTATAAGAAGCTCATGATTAACAGTATTTTTAATCACCTGATTAAGCAGCACTGCACTGTCTCACTTAATCTCTCTTCAATGCAATGAACGTTAGACCCCTAGTCACTTAAGTCAAAAGTCACTCGTCACATCCTATTTGCATCCTTCACGAAAATCAAATTCTGTTTAATTGAAATAAATATCGCTTAAAACATCGGAACCATACAACACCACTACATTATGTGTGCGCCGGAAACTGCGGTATTTAATTTAGTCAACTCTAGCTCGTTATAACAAAGTTACACAGACCAGGCAAATTAAAATGTTAAAAATAGTCCTGGAAAAGGGATAAGAGCCTCTGTTTCCTGACCAAAGAAATAATATTTTTATCGTGCGACTTGTTTTGTTTCTGAAGATTGCCATTTTGATTTATTTCTGACATGTTGTTACATCTTTCCTTCATTTTCAATAGGCCTGATTGTTATGCTTATTGTTATGCTTATTGACAATAAACTAGTGTACACGTATAAAGCTTAGATCTATTTTGAAGGCCTTGGACTTTGGAGGACTTGGACTTGAATCAGACTCCAGACGATTAACTTACATAATTGCGACTTCACACGGGATGAAATTCCAAATATTGCCGACGCACTGAGTAATATTCCAAACATCTTGATTTATATCTGTCGAGAAATGAGACCCTTGGTAATTCAGGTAGGGCACGGTCTCGCTGGGCAAAAATCAAACACTTGATGTTTTGCAACTTAATTGACCGGCGGTGACATTCCTCATGTCCACCCTTGTTGAATTGAATCTGTCTGGAAATGAGACCTTCTCTGGCTCAGGTGAGAAATGACTTTCCCTGATGAAACTGCAAAATATTCAAAAGCTTTCTGTGTAAAGAATGCTTCCTTTTGGGCTGACGACAAATCACGAATTGCTGCAGCTACGAGCCAAATGAGCTCTTTCTTCGGTGGTGGCTTGAGCATGCGTTGCGTTTCCTTACCTTTCTGTTTATTTAAAGAACAAAATCCCGCCGCACCTAATTAAATCAAAACTCAGAAAGGGTTTGATTTGAAGTAACGAACACTGCTCATCTGTTTGGAGCTCACAACCCACGGGCTCGTTGACAACAGTGGAAGATGAACTTATTGACCAATACAGAAACTGTGAATTACTTGAAGAAAAGCGAACCTATCCAGTGTTCCCTGTTGATGATGTCCCCCTTAACGACGACAAGCAGAGATGCAGGCCCCCCCCAAAAAAAAAAAATCAAAACGCATACTTGAATTCTGTGCGCCCAGAAGCCAAGTAAAGTAATTAAATGCGCTTTTAATTTATGTTTGGCGCTATGCACTTTTTTCACCAAGGGAAGCTACTCCGCTTGACAAAATAATCTCTTGCTTTCGTAGCCGAAATGAAGTTCAATTTTACAACTGAGATATGCATTCGTAAAAAAGCGTATTCAAGAGAAGTTTTCCAGGACTGAACGGTTTCCGAACAAATGTGTAATTGCGTCACCCTCCAGTATACTACCAGTAAGTCAATTAAACTGAGTCGATTCATTTCACTCTACAGGAAACACTGGAGAGCAGGGAGGAAGTGGTAAAAGACGCAAGACTGGACCACGTGACGCAGCCCAACACGCTGCAGATAAGTGCGAGGAGGTATTGAAGGAAATATACACAACTACAGGTAGCTATGTACAGATGCTCCCANGTTCTTGGGTTCAATGATAGAGACATGAAGGCATATGTGGAGAGATTTTATTTGGATGATCATTCTAAAGCCAACGGTCTTATTGAAAGGATTGGATCTTCTCATGTCCTGGTAGATTTGGCCCAAAGTCCAATGCTGCTATTATTAATGTGTTTATTATGGAAAGAAAATTCTAACCTCCCTGAAACCATGTCACGGCTTTACAACGAAGCAGTAACATACATATTCAAGAGAAAAACGAACATGTCACCAGCACAGATATCAAACGTTGTTATAGGAATCGGAAGGATTGCTTTTGATGGTCTTCTTTCATCGAATCAAAGACTCTCGTTTGAAGAAGGAGATTTCGATCAAGATATTCGTGATATGGCTTTAAAAGCTGGTATTCTAACCAGCGAACGAGTCGTAAGAGGTCAAGATGTTTGTAAAAATGTTTACTTCATCCATAAGACTTTTCAGGAGTACTGTGCTGGTAAATACTACCAAAGTCCGAATGCTGAAGACGCTAGAAGAATATTGGAGACATTCTTTTGTTACCCTCATTATCCTGAAGAGATTGAGTATCTGTTGCGCTTTTGTTGTGGTGACAATCAAGGGCCCGAGACGCAATCAATTTTATGCATGTTATTGGAAGATGTTCGCAGAATGGGCAGAATAGCGTTGGTGTTGATCCTGGACTGCTTCTTTGAGAGTCAGTGTGACACACTTCCAACCGACCGAGTAATCGAAATTGTTTTGGCATACCCCATCGTTAGCGATGACCGCAGGGATATTTCGGCATCGTTAATATACTTTCTAGACTGCGTTACTGACTGGAGAAAGGGTGGAAGGAAAACCAACCTGAACTTGGTACATGAACTGAATATATCAGTCTGCCACTCAAAGCAATTTGGCAAAAGACTTTCGCATTATGTGAAGAACATGCAATTTTTATCTGAATTTACTGTCAGTCTAACCACGTTTAACAAAACACAGATGGAAACATGTTTGGGTAACAAAAGGCATTTACAAAAGTTAACAATTAAACCCATCTTGAAACCCAACCTGATGCCCAACCAAGTTGAATTGACTGTGAGTGACATCCTTCATATTGTCAACACACTGAATAATATGCCAAATCTTGTTGAGGTGGATCTGTCTGGGAATAAGACCCTTGGTGGCTCAGATAGTGCATGGTCTCACTTGGCGAAAATCAAACACATCCAGAAAGTAAAGTTGTTGAACTGCAACTTGACCAAAGGAGACATTCCTCATATTGCTGACGCACTGAGTAAAATGCCGAATCTTGTTGAATTAGATCTGTCTGGAAATAAGACCCTTTCTGGCTCTGGTAAAGCATGGTCTCATTTGGCGAAAATCAAACAGATCCAGAAAATAGACTTGACATACAGCAACTTCACCGAAGGAAACATTTCTCATATTGCTGACGCACTGAGTAAAATGCCGAATCTTGTTGAAATAGATCTGAGTGGAAATGAGGCCATTGCTGGTACTGGTAGAGCATGGTCTCATTTGGCGAAAATCAAACAGATCCAGAAAGTAAAGTTGGGGAGATGCACCTTGACTGGGGTCGACATTCCTCATATTGCTGACGCACTGAGTAAAATGCCAAATCTTGTTGAATTAAATCTATCTGGAAATGAGACCCTTGGTGGCTCAGATAATGCATGGTCTCATTTGGCGAAAACCAAACAGATCCAGAAAGTAGAGTTGGGGAGATGCACCTTGACTGGGGTCGACATTCCTCATATTGCTGACGCACTGAGTAAAATGCCAAATCTTGTTGAATTAAATCTATCTGGAAATGAGACCCTTGGTGGCTCTGGTAGTGCATGGTCTCATTTGGCGAAAATCAAACAGATCCAGAAAGTAAAGTTGGGGAAATGCAAATTGACTGGGGTCGACATTCCTCATATTGCTGACGCACTGAGTGAAATACCGAATCTTGTTGAATTGGATCTGTCTGGGAATTGGACCCTTGGGGGCTCAGATAGTGCATGGTCTGACTTGGCGAAAATCAAACAGATCCAGAGAGTATATTTGGCGGAATGCAACTTGACCAAGATTGACATTGCTCATATTACTGACACACTGAAAAATAGGCCGCAACCTGTCAAATTGGTTCTGTGGGGAAATTAGACCCTCGGTGGGCTTAGTTAATGTATGGTCTCATTTGGCGAAAATCAAACGGATCCACAAAGTACAGTTGGGGAACTGCAACTTGACCGGGGGTGACATTCCTCATCTTGCTGATCACCGAGTAAAATGCTGAATCTTGTTGAATTGAATCTGTCTCAGAATAAGACCCTTGGTGGCTCAGAAGACCCATGGCTTTCCCTGACGAAAATGACAAATCTTTAAAAGCTTTCCGTCAACGATTGTAATTCAGCGGATGACGACAGAGCAAAGATCGCAGAAGCTAAGACTCAAATGATCACATTGATCTGTTTAAATTTTGTTTAAATTGAACCACAACTTATAAAGGGTTTGATTTTAACTACCGAACACTGCCCGTCTAATTTGAGCTCACAACCATTACGCTCGTTAACAAACAATGAACGATTACTTCATCGCCCAGTTCGGAATCAGCGCATTATTTAAGGAAAGCGAACTTATCAAGTGATTCCTGCTCACTGAAGTACCCCCTCAACGACGACCATTAAAGATGCTGCGCAACATAGGACGTCATTATATAGGCCTATGCGCCAGGAAGCCACGTAAATTAATCAAAGGCACATGTTCCTGTATCTATTGATGTAGGTTTCATTTCCATATTTGATTTAGTTGGCGATTATCCGCGAAAGAGGGCAAGGGTTTCTGGCTGATATTGTTTTGTTTTTTTTCTTAAGTTTTCTTTTTTTAATTTCTCCATTGTCTACACGGCCTCCTCCCCGTAAAGACGGTATTTTCTACCCTAAAAAGACTAAAAAATACTCCAAATCTGGCAAACGTGGTGGCATTTGAAAGAGCAATGTGTCCCCGTATCTACTCAAGTAGGTTTCATATCCACGAATATCCATGTGCTACATAAATTACCCATTTCTCAAGCGTATTTTATGTCTGACAGACGCGACTAAGCATTTGAGCAG